TTTTATGAGAGATAAATGTATCAGCTTCAAAATAGAAAAGATTGCGCAGCCATAGTGATTGACAGTATGTAGTGCGCATTGAGAAAAGAAGGTGCTCTCCATTTCGTCATGTTCAATTTTTTTGTCAACTATGCCTGTTGAAAATTTAATGGCAGGGAACACATGGGACTTCAAAGGCATCTCGCAAACGTTCTTTACGCGTTGCGGCAACTTTGATCTTGGTTCATTTGCATAGCGCTGCGTGCGCGTAGCTTTGCCGAGTGATCTCCTTCTCAATAATTATACCTCCATGTTCTAATGTTAGTGCAAAATATCATTAGGCCTTTGTAATCACCGCACGACGCGCGATTATCATGGCAACTAACACGCGCGTGGGTAATTCGTCACGTACGTACGCTGATGGGTTATGGTCTGGTTGCTAAGGTTTTTGTGACGTTCAGCGTGTAGGGACGCACGTGCGCATAGAATGTCGATGCCAGAGTTATAACCAATCAAAAATAAATTTGTAACAAGAAATAAATCGATCTTAAGTCTTGACTCTTGGATCATAAAATTTTATCAAACAAATATTTGAACGCGCCTGCGTTCCTCTTCAGTGCTGGACGACTACTGAATTAAAATAGGCCTATCAACTATCTAATATATACAAAATCGCATATCCATTACAAATCAATAGTTTTTTTTTTTTTTGTAATGGCTATGCAATTTTGTACATATTAGATAAGTTGATAGGCCTAATTTAATTCATCGTCTAACGCAGGAGAGGAACGCAGGCGCCTTTGAAATATTTGTTACATAATATACCGTAATTGTGTGCTCCAAGAGTCAACGACTTACATCGATTTATTCTTTGTTACAAATTTATTTTGATAATTTCATTTAAAAATAATAATGACAAAATCCACGATAATTATCAGACGTATAAAATCCATTCCTCTTTATCATAAATTTTGCAATTAGGTTAGCTGATAAATTAAATTAGGATTTTTGTAATAAAAGTATGTAGGCTTACACCTAAATTAAAAAAAAAAACAAAAAAAAAACTAAATTGCACCGTTGTATAGTGCATCGATATATAAGTCTCTCTATGTATTTGATCTATTTGTGAAATTTGGAATATATATTACATCTAATAAGATTAAATATCCGATTTTTTATTCTCTCGGCCAAGATTATCCTCCTTTCTTAAAATGTACATCATTTATTGTGATATTTATTATCATGTTTATACGGTTGTGATTTTTTTTCTATTCTATCGTTAATATTTTTATATAGAACACATAGAATAAACTATGAAGACATTGAATATTATAAGTATGTCGCGATGTCATCACTTGCATTTGCACGTAATTTTCATTTTTTTTTTTTTTTTTCAGGAAATAATGGCTCCTTTGACCTCTATTTTTTACAGAGTCCTCAGAACTTGACTATAATTGCATACTGTATTAGTATTATGCTAAGTATGGTACGCTACAGAATAGTTCAGCCATTCCAAGACATTAAATAAACAATAGGCTTAAGTATTAAGATTTTATTAAAAAGAGAACATTATAATATGACGTCATTATATGTATATTGAATATTTTTTATATTTGTTTCCACAGATATTAATGAGTGCGCTTCCGGGCCGTGTCAGAATGGAGCACATTGTAATGACTTAGTCAATCAATACACGTGCAGTTGTGTGCCTGGTTATGTTGGCACGCATTGCGAGACAGGTAAACTCAAATTTACATGGCTAACGTTGAGGTAAATTAAGGGTGGCTCCAGGAATTGCCCGCCGGGGTCTGATGCCTCCAATGGGTGGACGTGGTCGGGAATTAGTCATAAGTGGTCTATGTGGCGAAGCCCCCAAAAACTATGACAATTTAAAGGTTTCAAAGGCTTATTTAATTGATCTTAGAGTCTAATATGTAAACAAATCATATAGATTTTTTTTTTCTGCCCGACAAATTACGTGTTTTCCCTGACGGGTGACCAGCTCTCCCCGACGCCTGGCCCCCGTCCCCGTTGGCGCTAAACCTGACGTAAATGCTGTGGAGAATATTAATGGTGGACTTAAAGTGACGTGACCTCTGTGCATCCTAAAGTAAAATAGAATAAACAACTTAATATTATGTCACCAAATAACTTCCTACTCCATAAAAACTAAGTTGTTGGCCGTTGGAGCTTATGGTTTTTCTTGCTGCTGGGTGACCGTAAAACCCTCCTCTCAGCAACTGCTACTAAAACACATACCACCTGAGTGTTGTCAGTGTAGTCGCCGACGACTCGTCCATATGGAGTTCAGTGTCGACGGAATGTCGTACCGTTACCCGAATGAACACGTAAAATGGGAAAACAATATTTAAAGAAATTGAAAATTAGGCCCACCAAGAGAATATGAAATAATTATATATACTACTTAATATTATGAAAGAAGTTACATGATATATATATAATAATAATCAGTGTACCACGTCACACAGGGCTGACCCAAGCCATGTTTGAGTCTGTCGTGTGTTTCATTCTTGAGCTGCACTGATGAGATCTAACAAGATGGAAACGGTACTGCCTGCAGATTGGAATATATATATATATATATAATTATATATATATATATATATATATGTATATATAACCTCGTGCTAAAACACTGACGTACTAACCACGTCAACGATCGACCAGAGTGCCACAGGTCACTAGCTATCACCCTAGGTTACCACCACTAAGGGCTATAATTCAGAAACATATGCCCATTCTACAGACCACAGAACGTCTTATGTCTGTTTTTCCGGATACACCGTTCATAGCCTATCGCAGACCACCTAACCTTCGTGATATATTAGTACGATCTAAATTCAAGAGGCAAACTAACTCTTGCGACAACCGTAATTTGTGTAGTCATCTTTGTGGTTCATGTTTTGAGAAGTTCACCACACACACTTTGGGTAACTGGTCCTCTGTTCTCTAATAGTTCCCATAAAAAGAACTGGTGAACGTCATATGAACCGGGTCTCAATTTTGCTATAGAATCCGTATAAAATACCACGCATCTTTCTATTTAGACGTCAACGAGTGCGCTTCAGACCCATGTCAACAGGGCGGAGCCTGCCTAAACGAGATTAACCAATACACATGTCAATGTGTCTCGGGCACAGAAGGAACAAACTGTGAAATAGGTAGGTAATAATCGATGTGTCTAGAGGTGAGGTACCGTACACTATCTCGGTAATGCCAAGAAGGCGGGATAGGTACAGTTACCGAGATTGTGTACGGTACAGTACCGTGTTCATAGCCACTGCCTTGAAAATAAATTAGATGGTTACATTGCATACTCTTTGTTTCTTGCTTTATTCAAAATGTTTTGGTTTTGGAAGCTGATTTCTACGAAAGCCTATTCGTGCCACTTAAGTATATAAAATCATCAAAATGTAATCCGAAATAACGGATTAGTAATCCGTTATTTCGAATTAGTAACTCGTTATTTCGGATTACTAGAATATATCCGTTATTTCGGATTACTAATCCGAAATTTCGAATTAAGTAATTCGTTATTTCGAATTAGTAATTCGTTTTTTCGGATTACTAATCCGAAATAACGAATTACTAATTCGAAATTTCGGATTAGTAATTCGTTATTTCGGATTACTAATCAGAAATTTCGAATTAGTAATTCGTTATTTCGAATTAGTAATCCGTTATTTCGGATTACTAATCCGAAATTTCGAATTAAGTAATTCGTTATTTCGAATTAGTAATTCGTTTTTTCGGATTACTAATCCGAAATAACGAATTACTAATTCGAAATTTCGGATTAGTAATTCGTTATTTCGGATTACTAATCCGAAATTTCGAATTAGTAATTCGTTATTCCGAGTTAGTAATTCGTTATTTCGGATTACTAATTCGTTATTTCGAGTTAGTAATTCGTTATTTCGAATTACTAACTCGAAATAACGAATTACCAATTCGAAATTTCGGATTAGTAATCCGAAATAACGAATTACTAACTCAAAATAACGAATTACTCAGGAGCGAGCTAATTCGAAATTTCGGATTAGTAATCCGAAATAACGAATTACTAACTCGAAATAACGAATTACTCAGGAGCGAGGACGTAGGCCTTGGTCTGAGAGAGAGTTGGGACGCGGTAACGTCTTGCCCTAGTTTTCACACGTTTCACTCGGTTTCAGTAATTTTGAAAAGAACACATGAATCATGCTGTCATAATAGCGTTGTTACAAATAAA